TTGTGGATTTCGTAGTTTGTAGAAAAACTATAAATAAACAGAGATAAGAAGCAAAATAATTTTCAAAGAAAGAGCTTTTGAAAATCTAAGCAGATGAAAGGTCAATACGTCAAAGCAACCTTACATTAGGTTTTTCCTCCGATGATTCATTCGCCGTTGAGTTTCCATAGTCATGTCTATGAAATTTGCTATGTTGTGATATGTTAACTTGGTCATTGTTTGGGTCGGAGAAGATCACCTACCTTCAAAGCGAAAACTAACCTCCATTGTGACGGTACAACCTATACAACATAAACTAATTAGCTTCGAATAAGAACACACAGATTTATAAGAAAACGCAAGAGATCCGACGAATACAAATTTTCCACCACCTCCGGTAAAGTCTCCACCACCACCTTAGTACCTTTCCTTCAAGGTCCCACACTACAAAAAAAAGTGTGTTTTACATCATTTATTTTATATATTTGCATTCGTTATAACTGATGCAAACAAACTTTACATCATTTAAATGAGTAACTCTGAAAATGATGATGTAAATATTTAACATCAATTTAAAAGACCGACACAAATATTCACATCGATTACTATAACTGATACTAATATGTATCAATTACAAAAACATGGTGCTAAATATTAGCATCAGTTAATAAAAAATGATGCTAATATTTGGTTCGGTTAAACAATTGATGCTAAAATTTTGTATCAATTAATAAATGATATTAAAATGATAAATACTGTACTGATATTTGTTATATATATATCGATCTAAAAACACATTCTTTTCTAATTAAATTTTGAAATAAATATTTTCTAAACTTATATTTGGCAACTCAAATATTTACTAAATTTAAAGACTTTATGTTTTTGCCAGCGAATTTATAGCACTGACTAAGAGTCAAACATGATTTTAATTATATAAGAAAAGTTTCAATCTCCTCCTTTGTATCTTGTCGATGTGGGATATGTGAAAACTGATTTTTGTTTTCAATGTTTAAACCGTAAAATACTTTACAAAATTTAAATCTTTTGACTGATAGTTCTGGGTAATATGTATATCGTAGATGATGTTGTTATATTACATATAATTTAATAAATAATTATTCTAGTCATCAGATTTGAAGTGTAATCAAGTAAAATATTATCCAAAAATCAATATATTAAAATCTGTTGTATTATATGTTTAACTAAAAATATTTATGCATAATGTATGTTTTACTATATGGTATTACAACTAACGTATGCGTAAAGTATTACATATGCATATTAACCAAATTATACATTATAATTTACTGTCGGAAATAATTTATAAAGTTAACATCAGTTTTTTATTAATGTGAAACTTTGTTTTTTTATTTAATTGATGCTAAATTTTTAATATAAATATATATCGATTATATAATTGATGTTAATTAATATTTTTATATCATTTTTGTTAAACTGATGCAAATTAATACAAATTTATATCAATTTGATACAACTGATGTAAAATAAGGTAATAACTACATCAATTATAAATTGATGTTAAACCATATATTTTGTATCATTTATTAGTAAGTAATTTAAAATAAAATCATTTAGTTTTCTGATACTATTTAATTGATGTAAAACATCCATTTTTTTGTAGTGCCACAACATGCCGCTTTGATTTCCTTGTAAGTAAAGGAATCAGAGAAAAGTTCATCACCTGTTTGATACAAAAAGATAAATACATAGATTAGCTTATGACCCTAGAAAATAAAAAGAAGGTAAGAACACGTAAAATAAAAGGAATGAATCAAACCCTAGAACTAAAGCGAAAACTGAAAATAATTTTAATGGGAGGCCATGCTATGTATTTATATGAGATTTGAATAGGGTTAGTTGTGATGATCTAGGGTTTTAAGAAACCGACCTACGATTATGGATCACAAAATTTGTTTAGAGCTCAAAACGAAATTAAAGCCCAAAATCGTTGAGGGCAAAAAGACATTAAAACCACCAAATAATCAAACACTAACAAATAAACGGAGGACAATCCCGTAAAACAAACTCGATGGATCAAAAATTAATTAGTGAAAACATAAAAGATGTCATTAAATATATACAATTAAGTATCCCTTTGAGATTGGCTCCTCAAACTGCCAAATAAATTTTTGCACTTCTCAAATAATAGATAAATGGTTAAAAACTATATTAAACCAGTCAAGAATATAATCCATGAATCCATATAATTATTGAAATTAAATTATAGCTACTATCGTGTTAAGTTTGATCGTATAGTTTTTAATTATTTTCTTTAGAACTCGTGTAATTTTTAAATCATTTCGGGGTTAAGAAACACTTAATTCCTCATATCATAATGTAGGCAAATAACTAAATGGATCTGTCACATCATGGTCATCCTTTTCAAGTTTAGTCATATAAATATCATATATATATTGGTCACATAAGCTTTTGACTTCAAGGTAAGTTCCATGCATTTTCACAAGATTTTCGTGTAGAAGCAACAAAATAAAAAAGTATTATTTTATGGACCTTCAAATATCTTCTCAATTAAGTTCCCAATATGCGGGGTGCTATATATATGTGTGTTTCTCCTATAGTTATCCAACGACCAAATTGTGTTAAGTCTAGTTTATAAGGTCTCTTTGAGCTATCACGTAATATGACGACGGTGAGTAACATCCTTTATTCATAGTCATGAATAATCTCGTATATACGTTTCTTGATTATGTGAATGGTGTACGCAGGTAGTAGAGTTGGAAGTGCCCATGGACTGTCCTGGTTGCGAGAACAAAGTTAGGAAAGCTCTTAAAAAGATGAAAGGTAACTTAATTAATGAAGATGGGGTTATAAAACCCTAAACTAACATTTCATATCAAGAACTAGTTTCTTGTCATGCAACAAACCTGATGATTTTAAGTTTTGGATGAAACAGGAGTCGACGATGTTCAGATAGACATGAAGCAGCAGAAAGTAACGGTAACGGGTTGGGCGGAGCAGAAGAAGGTTCTGAAAGTTGTAAGGAGTGTTACAGGAGGGAGAGAGGTAGGTCTATGGTCGTTCCCTTACAACCCCCAATCTAATGGATTCAACGACAGATACTTCAAGAAGAAGTTTCACAAAAGAATCAGYCTGTCCAAGAATGGTGAGAAAGTGAGTTATTACAACTACTACAAGCATGGAAGCCACGGACACGAGAATGGTTACCGTCAAGAAAAGCCTTATTCGGGTCTTATCAATGATAACACTGGTTCTATGTTCAATGATGAAAACCCTCATTTCTGCACAATCATGTGATCGATATTCATCYTCAACGACGTACRACTATGGGTGGAACAACTTTAGTGCGGTGTGTGCTCCGGTTTGGTTATGCTCCAWTGTATATATATARATATGCAACCGGATCGACACAATTAAAATTTATCAGCTTAGTTGGATTTTATTTGGTTGGGATCAAGTTTTTATGTACTAACTGGTTTGGTTTATGTTTGGTTATGTTAGAGAAAGCTTGGGTATATATACATATCATACATGGATAAGTGGGTTTGATTGGTTTATACAAAGCGAGTCTAGTTCCCAATAGCTGTCGGGTTGGATAATCCGAGTCTCTAAATAAAAGTGTTGTCGGAAAATAGTTTATGTGGCATACCTTATGTATATATATGGAAGCCTTGTAACATAAGTGTCTTTTATTGCGTAAGGTTTTAAACGTTCTAATTAGTAACTTGATCAGAAGATGTACTCGATCGGACTACGCATATATCCAATCTTCCATAACTGAATTACATATTCTCAGTTTACCAAACACTCATCAAATGAATTCCGAGTAAGGAGGTTTAAGCTATTCATTCGAGAATTAGTTGTTTCCTTGTACGAGTCCCCGACTGGTGGTTAATTTCTGACCTTCCTTAAATAGATCAGGACTAAGAATTTCCTTCTTAGCTAACCAATTTTATGAAACCATTTTCATGAACCACTCAACCGGATCACGATGAGTAACTCATTCAACACTTGAACCATTCTACACTTGGTCAAATATTCAGTTTTTTAATTCACGAAAAAAAATGCTTAGAAGAGTTCCAAACACTTGAACAATATTTCTCCTTCCACAAAATAAAACATTTTGGTTAGTAAATTTTATTCTTGTTTCAGATAGTTACAGTTTTTCCTCACTTTAAATAAATTTGTCTTTGAATCTGCATCGATCATTTGCTCATCCTCTTTAGTCTCGATCATCTAAACTTGCATCCTATTTTCATGTAAGCTAATACACTGATCCGGTCGAGAATTTCATACGGTCTCATGTGCAAATGAAATAGGATTCTTTTTTAAGAATGTGTTACTCTTTTATCCGCAAAATCAAGGTTCCATGTACACATTTAAGCAATGCTATTATATGTACACATGATATTACATAACACAATTAGAGGATCATCTAGAGTAAAATATTTTAAGCTTATGCACGAGCCTTAATGTTCTTAAACCCCAAGCATAAAAAAAAAATTCAAGCTCCAACTAAATTAGAACATTTTATTTGGTATATAGCTTCAATATATGGCAGTCAATAGAAGTTGAAGAATAGAGAGATGTATTGTGATAAAACTGTTGGGAAAATCAATAAGCACCGATGGCGCAGCGGAATAAATTTCTCCACGCTTATGTGAACCTGTGAGGAGAATATATATATAATATGGCACCAGCAAATCAAAGCAGTAACGTAAATGAGACAACAACTTATTTTACGTGGAAAACCTCTTCGATGTGAGAAGTAAAAACCACGGGACCGTAGTCCACTCAAAAATCCACTAGATCAAATTTGAGTTACAACCACGTCCTCCCTATTTCACAGAACATATCCAGAGACTAAGGCTCCGAAGAGCAATCTCCAACACAAAAAACACCACAGGAGAGCAATACAAGAGCCTAGAACAAGCAGTCCCAAAAGACCCTAAGTTCACTAGGATTCTGGTCACCAAATAAGATCTCCACTGTACAAATCCTATATAAACAAGTCAGAAATACCTCTGCCAAATTTTGGCTCAATCCAAGAATAATTCACGGTCGGATTTCCCAAACACTCAAGATAACTCCGACTGAAATCTGAACTCGCAACAGCAGCGAACTGCCTCACTAAAACTCATGTCTGCGATGAAGCAACCGTTGAAATAGAATCTTCACCGTTGAATATCAAGATCATTGAGTCACGAAGCTAACCTCAAAATTTCACCCAAATCGGAGCATGTTAAAGCTTCCAAACGTTCTCTTGAACAAAATATGACGAAACTGTTTTCTCTGCTTCTTTGGTTGCGGAAATGACTCTCTTCTCTCTTGTTTCTCACTACTGCAAAATTAGGTTAGGAGTCATATATATACTTCCTCATAACCCTTAGCCCAATAACCAATTCTCATGGATCATAAGCCCAAGTTTGGTCCATCTCAAACCAAACTCAATTGGTTTCCCCACTAGGAGGAAAACCATCAAAAACCCGTCTATAATTGTATAATA